ATTAGAGGAGTGGGCAATCACCAACCAGATGAAGTTCAACAAGGGAAAGTGCCGGATTCTGCACCTTGGATGGGGCAAGCCTTGATGTTTTACAGACTGGAGCATGAGATGCTGGAAAGTAGTGCCATAAAAAGGGACCTGGAGGTCCTGGTTGATGGCAAGTTGAATATGAGTCAGCAGTGCCCTGGCAGCCAGGAGGGCCAGCTGTGTCCTGGGGGGCATCAGGCAAAGCATCGCCAGCCGGTCGAGGGAGGGGATTGTCCTGCTCTGCTCTGCACTGAGGTGGCCTCACCTGGAATATTGTGTGCGGTTTGGGGCACCACAATATAGGAAAGATATTAAGGTATTAGAGAATGTCCAAAGGAGGGCAATGAAGATGGTGAAGGGCCTTGAGGGGAAGCCGGATGAGGAGCAGCTGAGGTCACTTGGTGTGTTCAGCCTGGAGAAGAGGAGACTGAGGGGAGACCTCATTGTGGTGTACAGCCTCCTTTTGAAGGGAGGAGGAGGGGCAGGCACTGATCTCTTCTGTGTGGTGACCAGTGACAGGACTTGAGGTAACAGCCTGCAGTTGTGTCAGGGGAGGTTTAGGTTGGATATTGGAAAATGGTTCTTCAGTGAGAGGGTGGTTGGACACTGGAAAGGCTCCCCATGGAAGAGGTCCCAGCACCAAGCCTGCAAGAGTTCAAGAGTCATTTGGTTAATACTCTCAGGCACATGGGGGATGGTCTTGTGCAGGGCTAGGGGTTGTATTGATGATCCTTGTTGGTCCCTTCCAACTCAGCAAATTTTGTGATGCTGTAATTCTGTTGAAGTGGGAAGTGATTTGGTGGGGAGGTGGTGATTCATTTTCTTGGAATAGATTTTTTCTAAACCAGATCCATTGCTAAGCATTGGCATTTGTGCACTTGTTTCTAAGAAATGCACAAATGTGCATTTGTGAGTCAGTCTCTTATTTTGTGTTGATTTGATATAGCTCCTTATGTTGAAGAGTAATTATTGATTTGTTGTAAAATCAGCTTCTTTCTGTTAATTCCTATGTCCTTTTTCCAAAATGCTTGTAGGAGAAGAAATTCTTCCTTGCATAGTTATCCTTTCACTACTTGCATGTCAGAAACTTGTAAATTTTTGGTTTTAGTTTTTCTTGACCCTTTTATGAAAGTAACCCACTGACTTTTTTGCATGTTGTTTTGAATGGATAACAACGTGAATGCAGATTTCTCTGTCGGATAGTGTGTGGCTTGGGCTGGCTGCATGTAAAATAAAAATGACATTTCATAGCAGAAGTACTTGTTTTGCTCTGTTAGTCACTGGTTGAGATAGTGGAGTGTAGCTGTATCTAAGATGATTCACAGAACGCTTTAACATCTGATTGGCTCTAAGAAAAGAAAATCTGAGGCATAGAGTTATTTTTTCATGTTTTGAAACGGCATACTTTCTGATGCCATTTTGCTGGGGTTTTTATGTAGTATGAAAGCAAAATAGTGCATAAGGCTTAAATCTGTGAGCGACACTTGCCATCTGGAAGTTGTCAGAGCAACTGAAGTCAGCCTTGCCAGCAGTACTTGGTGACTAAGTGACAATGTTGTGTTAACAGAATCTGTGAAGCTAGTTAAATAACACCTATGTAAATACAAATGAGGTGAACAATTTAGTGTCAGGTTGATGAACTGAAGGTTTACTTGTCGTTATCAAATGCAACACTTTCTTGTTAGTACACAGCATGATTAAGACTATATTGCTGAAATCTCATAGTGCCATTTTGCTAGCAAGGTACATTTTAGGGTGGTTACATGAGCACAGATTCAATTTCTCTCATTTTAACTACAAAAGTAGTGTATTTCTGGTAGTTAATGTCAATTTCTAGTGATTTCACATAGATGGCATCAGGTGTTTTACAGGTCTTTCTCCTTTTGCTATGAATACTTTTGCTATGTAATACTGTGATTTGAGTGTTTTTTTCATTAGATTAGGTTATCATTTGGTGCCTTTGTAGCAAAACTTGCTGCGCCTTAAAAGCAGTTCTTTCTAAAGTTGTCAAAGGTATCTCCAAGTAAACCTTGGCGTGGGAAAAAGCTTGTGCTTTTTTTATGTTCTCATAGAATGCTGCATGCCCAGAAATATCTTGATGTGCTGCATTTTGTAACTTGTCCTCAGCAAACCAGATTGGTTTTTACAACTGTGTGTGGAAAACGTTACCTACACATTTAAAAATTTTCACAATTTGGTATTTTAAATATTCATGAAGATACATATGTGAGAACCCTTCAGATATATTCAGCTGGAAATCCCACAGATTAAGTAAAATTCTGTCTTAATACAGGCTGAGAGTTTGACACACTTTTTGTTGAGTGCTGATTCCTCCTTGTTATTCTGGTAAGTATTTCTTACCAGAATTTTCATCAGAAACAGATGGGGAGTGAAAAATGCTTTGATGTGTTCAAAAAGGTGCATTTGCATAAGGAGTGGTTGGTTTGGTTATCAAATTTCTAAGGGGAAGTCATCAGAACTGTACATCAAACCTGTAGGCAGACAGAGGGCCACATCATGTTATAATATCTTAAAGAGACTTTGTTGAACAGGACAGTCCTACCTCTGAGTAGGGCCGTGAACAGACTGTCTGGGGGGCAAGGGCTACAGTTCATATGCTACATGCTATTTGTAAGAATCTGTAGTGCAGTTAATCCATTGGATGTGCAGATGTTTCAGTCTCATGAACTAGAATAACAAAATAGCTACTTGTTCTTATGATGCTTTTTAGTAATCCTATGAGAAAGTAATAAATTGTCAAAGAATAGTCCATTGTATTGTACAAGTATTATGAGTTTAAGTGGCAATGGTGAATTGATGCAGTCAGAAAGATTAATTTTATCACATAAGAGGTCCCTGGGGAAGAAGGAGCAGCACATTACACCACAGCCTTCCATGAAGTTACATCCAGTCCTAGACATAGGTTATCTAATTAGTGCAGTAAAATCATGTCTCTAATGTGATCTAATTCAAAAGGCAGTAAGGAATAGGTTGAAGACAGAGATGTCAGCAGTAGTTTATAACTGTAAAATAAAAATAGCAGTAGTTTTTCCAGGCCTGACTAGGTGCTGTAGTCTGGCTTTGCATAGACAGTATTGCTTACTGTACTACTAAGGTGTTATTTTTCAGCTTACCCACAATCTGCTTTCAGTATTTGATGGCAAACATTCACTAATTCCTTTTTCTTAAGAAATTCTGAGTAAAGGGTAGCAAAAGTAAGCAGTAAAGAAAATTCTAGAACTTTTTGGCACCAAGTGCCTTTGTACCTGTTAGCCATGCTGTTTTTGCAATTTATGATCATAAACAAGGAAGTTACTAGCCACCAACATTCCCACACAATGCACAGTACAATTTTAGGATCTTATTGTATGGTAATTTCGAATGCATATTTTTGTTGTGGCTGAAATCCTGTGTGAGATCTGTCATCAGAAGGTGCTGTGGGAGTACCAAGGGGGTACATTAACAGCCTTTTTCTTGTTCCATTTCAATTAACCTGCCACAGTGCAGAATTACTTTGATCAAGAACAAACATACCACGTCTTCTAAAGTCACCCCTTGTGTTTGGAAATCAGAATGAGGCTGTGCCTTTCTGCACTTGGATTACAGTGTGTTATGTTTTGTTTCTTCACTATTCTGGTTATCTGAGCAATGAGGCTTTTCGCTACAATTAGGGTTAGTGGTGTATAAACCTTATGGTAAGATATACAGATCAACTGATTTAGTATGCATCCATACCAAGTTAATGATTTACTGCCAATTATGTTTTAAACCTGTGGAGGTGCTGAAACTGCCCTTTTTTTTCATAAGAGAAGGAATGTTTCTACTTAACCATCTCAGTGTTTTGTATAAAAATATTTGTACTTGGATAATCTTCATCAAAATTACATACCTGGACTTAGTGATCTGTCATTTCTGCAAAATCACATTTTGTTCTTGTTCATGTAAAAATATGTACTGTTGCCTCTTGATTCTGTACCAAAAAATACATTACCATTATCTTAGGACATTATGTGTCAAAATGTACCATGAATCATTGCTGAGCTGCATGAGGTAAAGGAGAGGTGAGTGGCACAGCAATATCCCTCCTGGTTTTCACTAGTTTTTCTCCCTCCGCTTAGCACTGCTGTTATGTAAGACATTTAACACAGTTCCTGTCTGCAAACAGTTTGGTTATATTACTAGATGTGATCACAGCTTGTTTTAGTTCATGTTTAGGTATTGACTTGAACTGTATTTTGCCTTTCAATGGCAGCATCCCAGACTTCATAACAGTGTAGCTGACTCGAAACTCTTGACAGTACAGGTGTATGAGAAAAGAAAGGGGACTTGCCTACTGATAGAGACAAAAATGGTTGGTAGAGCTAGAAGAGAAGGCTGGTTAATTAAGTCATACTTCAGAAGTAAAACTTGTGTTTGAGTTTAGATAGGCCATATTTAGCCTAATGGAGAAGTGCATGATTTTTGTACTCATATCCCATCAACTGTTAATGAGAGGGTGGGAGCAAATGCTTTTTTGACACTTGAAAGTTCTCAAAGAACACACTCTCTGTTTTAAACAGAAGGTGGTAAAGAGATAGAGAGTAATATAGGCAAAATGCTCAGTAAGGTCTGGAACATGCATTAGAGATTACTTTAAAAAGTCTGTACTTCATAAGTATATGATGGAACTATTAACTGATTATTTGCTATCAACAAAAAGGTGCTGCCTAGAATTATATTCCTTGTCTTCAAAATAATATCAGGTTGCATTTCAGCTATGCATCTTTCTTTTGCACTTATAACAAGAACATTAGCTAAATAGATAACTAGCACTATGACTTGTGTGGGATAGTAAAGGATTTTTAACTATAATTTCACACATTTTCCTAACAAGACAAGCTTGTGCCTTGAAGGTATGATTTTGCTTAGGTTTCCAAAATGCTGCTGTGTAACTCTTCTTTTTTTCAGTATAGCCTTTTCTTCTTTGTCCGTAGGTTCTAGAAAGTTTTAAGATCATGGATTACAGTCTGCTACTGGGAATCCACATACTGAACAGTGACATGAAGGAAAAAGAGGAAGAGGGTTCTCAAAGTGCAGCAGACACAAAACGTCATGGAGGGCAGAAAGTTCTCTATTCCACAGCTATGGAGTCTATACAGGGCCCTGGGAAGTCGGGGGACTCTGTCACCACAGAGACAACAAACACGTAAGTGCCATAACCTGCTCTTAAGGTTACTATTAAAACTATTAACAGGCAAAACATTCATGAGTACACTGCATTTCAGAAATTGAAAGATTGAGCCTTTTTGTTTGTTTTCCAAAAGCTGCATCATCAAGATTTGCCATAGAGCATGAAATTAAAATGTTGATTTATAGATTGATCATCTTTAAATACATGATAGCAGATTTGGTTAGTTCAGAGTGACTTATGTATGCACAAATGCATTCTTTTGTAAAAGAGATGTTATAAGACAGCTATTACAAGAGTCCCTACTATAATCTAATTTTAATTGGAAGCAGCATGGTGAGACATAAGCAAAAATTATTTGTTCACATTGACATGGATATTCCTACAGTGGTCATTTTCATCTTGAAGTAGGATGCTCAATACATAGAACGGTATCTTCAGCCACTGAAGTGCAGTCATATATGATATTTCCTGAGATTAAGAACTGCTGCTTTCATGTTATTTTTCTGTCTAGTAAAAAGTGCAGTAGAAATTTGATTATATAAACAATAGTTATTCTATTTCCCTCATAATATATTAAGTGCTAGTAAGAGCATTATCTTCACCATTCAGCATTGTATATAATCATTCCTTCATTATAATGAGAATTTAATTTTAAATTCAGGATCTACTTTTCTCCTGTGTAGGTAAATACCAACTAATGATATAGAAACGTGCTTAAACCCACAGCAAACGAAAGGGAAAATTATGATATTTAGCATTCGTAGAGAGTTTTCAGATGTTCAGAGCTCTAGAATATAAATTAGACAGAGCTTTATTTTACTCAGTTTTTACAGCTCACTCACATTCACACAGAAGATGGTCAATGCTATGGTGCAATCGTATGGTGGTAGAGGTGTTGTGTTGGCAGTTTTGAGGGGTGTTGGTAAAGTTGATTACATAGGTCATTCCAGAAAGTGTTCATACATGGAAACCCACCCTGCACTCCACATCACTTGAGCTAATATAGATCATATATAATATATACACATATCCTGAGAAGTGTACTGAAAGCCTACTGCAGCAGTAGAGTCCTTCCTGGGCTCTTTGCACTATCTCCTCTCTCATATTGACATAACTACTACTGGGACAAACCTCACTTAGGTGGATGAAATTAAGCCTAGATCTTACAGAAAAGACCCCTAGGTCAGTCTTCTGCTGTGGTTCATTGTAAGGCTATATAAAGAAGAGGATGAGAATGGATACCCAGCAGCAATAACTGCTGCTAGCACTGTGTTTAATTTCTAGTCATAACTTCCAGGAAAAGCTGACAGAGTATCATTTTGTTAACTGTTTAACACTTCTGAATGTCTGACCAGTTGATTGAGCTGGAGTTCATGATAATGGGATTTTACAGTAAGTTAAACTTCACTGATTCTTACAAGGTTTCCTTTATGCCTAGAATAATAAAAAATGTGTTTCCCTCTCCCCTACTGCCCACTCCTACTCCCACCACACCCTGCTACCACCCCACCCCACCCCCCTTCCTATGCCAAAAAAAAGAGAAGGTTTAATAGTTGGTAACCAGGCCTCTCTTGCTGCTTTAGTGGCAGAATGGGGAAAATACTCTCAACTATGTCTTTGATAGCTGCTTTAGTTTTTTGTTTCTCAAACTGCTAAAAATTATTTAGAGGTACTGCATGAGCTGCATCCTCAGTCACTTTTACTTCTGGTTTTGTAGTGGACTCGTGAATGTGAACAAAACTGAAAATTGGATTTCTGGTTCTAAAACAATGGACCCTTTTTTCTAGGTGGTGGAGTAGGAAGACAGGGTCTTAGGATGAACATTCTTATTCTTTAAGGTCATGGCTGAGAAAATACACTGGACCGACTGGAGGCCCATGTAGTTAGGATACTCAGCTTGATGCTGTTGCTTTTTCTGTCACTGATCTGTCTGTAAAGAAATTTTGGAAAAGCACATTAATACATAATTTACATAATTAATATATAATCTAACTAGGGGTTTTTTCTATTTCTCTTAGAATGGGAGGTATTCCTGCAAAAAACCATAAAGGAGAAAAGCTGCTTCTATTTATGGGTATTATTGATATTCTCCAGTCTTATAGGTAAGTTGAATTTTGAGTTTTCATTGAATAAGCTATTCTGAAGTTACTTATAAATGTGAAAATTTTACAAAGCAGTTCTGATTTTGTTTTTACATGCTTAGGTTAATGAAGAAGCTGGAACATTCTTGGAAAGCTCTTGTTTATGATGGGGTAAGTAGATTTCATTATTTTTTAAACTGCTAATATTTTAGCTAATGAAACTTTGATTTATATTAACCAGAAAAAAAGCTAGCTCTGGTATATTTGTAGTCTAACATCACCATGTGGTTTGGGCTGTTTCTGAAATCTTCTCAATACATGTTCTGATTTTATTTGTTGAGCTTTCAAAAAAACAACTAATATTATCAGCTTGTCCTTATACTTACATAAGACCAGCCACTTAGCAGGACATTGATGGATCTGTAACTGAAAAATACACATTGTGTGAAAAAACACATTTCAAATACTTGGAAGATTTTGCAGAATATAGCTGTATAATTCATAACTCATTATTTCATAAATTGAATACCTAAAAAAAGTTCTAGAAAAATCGACCTTTAAAAGGGAAAAATTGTTATGATTCACTAGTTTTGAGTATGCCTGAAATGTACAATACAGTTCACCTGAGATGTCCAGCTTTTTTCTTGACACTTTGCTTGTGGTTTACTTATGGAAAATGTGACTGAGACCTTTTTCAATTTCACAGGACACTGTTTCAGTTCACCGACCAAGTTTTTATGCAGACAGATTTTTAAAGTTTATGAGCACAAGGGTTTTCAAGAAAGTCCAAGGTAAGCAAGTAGTGATTTTACTCCTTTAGATATTTTTATTATTATTACTATATAACTCTCCTGCCTTGGCAATAAAATAAGCCTTTCTTCAACATCATGTAGCATTTTCATAACTCCAGTGAAGAAACTAAATTTGGGATAATCAGTTGGGATTATACTCTAATAGTAAAATTACAGAGAATTATTTGCTATGCATTTTTGTCACATCTGGGGCATCTGAAGGTAAAAGAGGTTCCTATATATTAGCATTGATATAAAGATAAATAAGTTTTATGATCTAATGATATGTCCAATCCTCAATCTGGTATTTGTAGGAATATCTACATCGATTTTAATTTATTTAATTTGCAAAAATAAAGATTTTTTACATGCTACTGTCAGCATGTTTCAAAAATTAAGTATTCTTCCCTTTAATGTGCATTTTTTCTGTGTTTTATGAAGGAAAAAATATCCAAAGTTGGATATTAATAAAATCTCTTGTCTTTATCACTATCAACCATTTCTAGTTTCCCCCTCTGCCGCGGTCCGAAAGGGGGAAGGGGCCGTGGCACAGCACGGGTTCAGGAGACAAGGTAGGGTGCAGGTAGAATGCTTTATTCAAGCGTGCACGGAATTCTTTATCGGCTCCGGCGGGGAAAGGGCCAGAACATGGGGTGGTGCATGAAACAGACAAGAGGGGGAACAAGTCGGGATAGGGACACAGGCAAAAGGGGGAGGAACGTAGGACGAACCGGGGAAGGAAAGGGCGAATGGAGGCTGTCTTCTCTCTGCAGCCTCTCCAGCCAATCAGCAGGGAAGCAGGGAAGTGGATAAGCCTGGGCATGCCCGGGAGATACAAATTCTGGGGAAACATACAATGTGTATATACATAATAACTGTAAAGTCTGTATCATAAAGTCCTTTCAATTGCTGTACATCTTTTTCCACTTCTGAAATTGTTCCCATTCTGATTCCTAGTCCTTCAAACTCCTCCATTTCTCCTTCCTTCATCTTTTAATTAATTCCCAAGGGTAAGATACATATGACTGTTACCTACTTACAGGGTGATGTGTGCTGGATGCCAGGTGACCACCGAGCCACTCTATCACTCCCCCTCCTCAAATGGACAGGGGGGAAAAATTATAACAAAAGGCTCTAGGGTCCAAATAGGGACAGGGGGAAATCACTCACCAATTGCTGTCACAGGTAAAACTGACTCAACTAAGGGAAATTAGTTTTTTACTAATCAACTCTGAGTAGAGTAATAAGAAATAAAACAAAATCTTAAAAATAGCTTCCTCCCCCTCACTTCTTTAGAGAGTTCTCTTCCTCTTCCCCCTAAGTGGCACAAACTTTGTCAATGTTAGTCCTTCGATGGCTGAAGTTCTTCACACACTGCTCCAGCGTGGGTCCACATGGGTTCACAAGTCCCAGCAAACCTTCTCCAGTGTGGGCTCCTTTCTTCTCAGGACCACAGGTCCTGCCAGGAGCCTGCTTCAGCATGGGCTCCTCTCCATGTGATCACAGCCTCCTTCATGCATCCACCTGCTGCAGTATGGGCTGCAGATGGATCTTTGCTCCACAATGAACCTCAATGGGCTGCAGGGGGACAGCTGACTCACCATGGTCTGGCCCATGGGCTGCAGAGGAATCCCTGCTCCAGTGCCTGGAACACCTCCTTCCCCTCCTTCTGCACTGACCCTGATGTCTGCAGAGTTGTTGCTCTCATGTATTCTCACTTCTCTCCTCCAGCTGTACACACACACCCTGTGCATCTTAAATACACTATCCCAGAGATGCTACTACTCTCACTGATGGGCTCAGCTTTGGCCAATGGCAGGTCCCTCTTGGAGCCAGCTGGCATTTGCTGTATCAGATATGGGGGAACCTTCTGGCAGCTTCTCACAGAAGCCAACCCTGCAGCCCCCTGCCTCTACTACAAAACCTTGCCATTCAAAACCAGTACACAGGGGGGAGAGAAAAAAAAAAGCAAAGAGAAACCCGCCATTGTTACAGAGGGACACTTCTACCAAGGGTTGTCCAAAGGCTTAAGTCTAAGTCTATTGATTAAGTCTAACTATTGATTGTCACTTCTCTCAAACAAAATGAATTGATTTCTATAACTTAAAGTAGACCCTGAAATTGTAGATCCTCTTTAGGCTTTGGGAATGGAGGGAAAACTGATCCTATGTAGGTGAGTTCTTGTATGTTGTGTTTTAAACCCAATGGGCATCTGAGCCCCAAACAGACAATCACTCATCCAAGTGGGATGGGGGAGAGATATGGAAGGGTAAAAGTAAGAAAACTCTTAGACTGAGATAAAGATAGTATAATAGGGAGAGCAAAAGCTGTATGTGAAAACAAATTAAATTCAGGAATTCATCCACTCTCATGGGCAGGCAGGTGTTCAGCCATCTCTGGGAAAGCCAGGCTCCATCACGTGTAACAGTGACTTAGGAAGACAAATGCCTTAATTGTGAATGTTTACCCCTTGCTCCTGTTTACCCCATCTTATATTACTCAGCCTGATGCCACATGGTCTGAGATATCCCTGTGGTCAGCTGAGGTCAGCTGTTACAGCTGTGTCCTCTCACAACTTCTTGTGCACATCCATCTCTTCACTGGCAAGGCAGTGCGAGATACAAGCACTGCTCAGCAATAACTAAAACCTTAGAAGGATGGAGCACCTCTTCTGTAAAATCAAGCTAGGTGTTGTTCAGTCCAGAGAAGAGAAGGCTCTGGGGGGACCTTGTAGCAGCATTCCAGTACCTAAAGGAGGCTTACAAGAAGGCTGGAGAGGGACTTTTTACAAGGCCATGTAGTGGCAGGACAAGAGAGAATGGCATTAAGCTGAAGGAGTGTAGATTTAGATTAGATATTAGGAAGAAGTTCTTTACAGTGAGGGTGGTGAGGCACTGGAATATGTTGCCCAGAGAAACTGGGGGTGCTCTATCCCTGGAATTGTTCAAGGCCAGGCTGGATGGGGCTCTGAGTGGTCTAGTGGAAGGTGTCCCTGCCTGTGTCGATGGTGTTGGAACTAGATGATCTTTAAGATCCCTTCCAACATAAGCCATTCTATAACAACTGCGGAGATGAACTCAGGATGTTTGCAGTAGGGAAGGCTATAGGGAAGACGTAATAAATATATTGGCAAGGCAAAAAGGAGGTTTGATGTGGTCCAGGCTGTTCTTTGGGGAAAAGCTTTTCTGATTACATGAGCACTGAGGTTCACCTTACAGTAAGACATACAGATCACCTGTTTTAAATACTGTGCATACATACTAACTTACTGCTTTACTACCAGATTAATTTTTAAACCTGTAGAGGTGATGCTGAAATTGCACCTTCTTTTGTCTTTCTTTCTAATAAGGGCTGTTTGTGCTTACACTCTAGCAAAGAGTGTTTTCTGACTTTTAAGTTTTTTTATGAAGCAGAGTACTTGACAAATAAATATAAACTGATGGGCTAGAACTATCTAGTTTATAAAGGAACTTGTACTTAAAAATGAATCCTGGTTAGCAGATCCATAATCCTGCTCATGGAACAAGATTTGCTTTAGAGTTGAATGTCAGTATGGAATGGACACTTGTCTCAAATACTACAGGAGGAGTATTGAGCATATGGTATTGTATTAAACTGATAGAAGGTGTTTTTCAAATATTTTTACCAGTATTATACTGGTCTCTTAAGTTTTTCATTAGTTATCTGGAGTGAGAAACAAGTCTATGAGGATAGAGGGAGAACAAAACACAAATGCTAGAACTAAATGAGATTTAAGGGAAAAAGAATGACTACAAGAATGACTATCATAAATTAATGATTTAAGGTTTAAATGTTAAATCCTTCAGAAAAGACTTATTAATATGAAAATATGAAAATAAAAGAATCTGATGTGATAAAACAAAATATGAAACAAAATTCAGCTGAAATGAGGAAGAAGCCTCCTGAGCCTCAGTCCTCTTAAAGTAAAAGAATAATTCTGCCAGAGAATTGGTAGGAGCTCTGTTGTCTGAGACAATACTCAAAGGAATTCCTCTGCATTTATAAAAAGTAAGGAGTATCTACGCTTTACTACTTGATCCTTCTGTCTGTTTGACAAAATAAATACCATATATGTTTCCTCAACATCTGAGTCTTTTTTTTCTAGTTCTGTCTAATTCTGACTGCTAGATTTTTTTCAGTACAAGACACAATCTGTTCTGTATTTGAAAGCTACAATGCACAATTAAAGGATATCATGCCTAATTTTCTCTCTTATCTTAATTCATCTGTCTCATTTTTCCAGGCTATTAACCTGTCTTAATATCCCACTCTTATTGATCTACTCTGCATACAGGGCTATTAATCTACCCTTATACAAATTAGTAGTTAGAATGCATGATCATTCTTTTATAAAATAAAGAATTGAGAGTGTTCCTGCCTTCAGGAGCATCATTTCTAAACTTTGAGTCTGACATTTCAGTTTAAACACTTAAGCACTATTCTGAATCTGTGCTTTTTCCTCTAGTGCGCAGAACAACCCTGCATAAATAACAAGAAAAACTTAAAAAGCAGATTCAGCCTTGGGCAGAGACTAGCTCAGCAGCTATCTACTATGCTCTTTTTTAACAATGTCCTGGAACTATGCATCTGATTTTTTCTTCAGTCTTTAGCCAAGAGGCCTTGGTGCTTTTGATTTTAACTTTGTAGTAAAGCACAGTATAAAGTGTCACAGTGCATCTGAAGTAACCTTGCAGCCAGTCCATGGAGGTCAGCAGCCAAGAACTGAAAAACATTAGATGAATTAGCTGGCATACTTCTGGAGAAGAACTACAAATGGTCAGTTCCTCGAGTTTAATTAAAAATGCTATTTTAGGTAGGTGGGCCCTGGTACAGGGCCTAAAGGAGATGGTAATTCCTGAATGCACAGCCCATCAATGTTTTAGAAATGTTTATTGTGCCCAAAGAAGATGTTTGATATGTGTCTGAAGAGGAAATTCTGCAGTTTCATTATATAGCAGCAGTTCACAGCTCAAGGAAATGATGTAACCTTTCAGAATACTCCAAATGTGTTTTCAGTTTTCTTGTCTTCTTTATTTTCTGTATCGTTCTGTCTGTGATTACATGGTCTGATACTTCATAGAAGTTATTTAACTTAGTGATGTCAGTGACTTGACTTTTATTGTCCTATAATGAGAAGTAAGAAACCCCAGAAAAAGACAAAAGTGATGAAGTAACAATGCCTTTTGCTCTAGTTTTAATATAATGTTTGCTAAGTGGGTTTTTATGTGGTCATGTATTCAGAAACTTCATCTGTATTCAGAAACTAGCTTTTATAGATGGCTTACTTTTCTATATGCTGTTAAAAATGTGCAAGGAGATAAGATGACATAACTCAACACCTGTATTCATTTGGTAATGCAGCTTTAAAGTCTTCACCTTCAAAGAAACGGTGCAATTCCATCACAGCTCTAAAGGCAGCATCACAAGAAGTAGTGTGTGCAGTTAGCCAGGAGTGGAAGGATGGAAAGTGTGGCATTCTTGCTGAAGGACAAAGCTGTGCTAGCCTTGATGAAGAAGGTACTATCTCTCAAATCAACAGCCTAAACAATGTGATAACATTCTGATAAATGAGCTCTGGCAGCATGAGAACAATCCCAGAACTTAGAAAAATTCGTTAGATACTTATACCTTGCTGTGGTGGTTTGGGCTAGGCCTTCCTTGGTGACCAGTTTGTAACCAAGGAAGGGTCCAGATTTACCCAGTATTCCCTACGATTTTTACATAAGCTGGGATATAAGAAGAAAGGAGGAGAGGCTTTCGTTCTCTTTCCTTCCGGCGGCTTGGAGGTGCAGGTTCCCTGCTGTTGAGTCTGCCGTGTTGGGGAGCGAGGCCTGGTTGGGCCTTGTCGACCTTGGGAGACAGAGGTTGCCGGCGATCGTTCCGGAGTGACCCTCGGTTGTCCCAGGAGAGTAGTGAGCTATTTCTTTGCTAACTCTTTTAGTGGATAGATCTTGGGCCGCTAATTTGGATATTTATATACATAATATTTTGGTTTTGTTCCTTTTCCCTTCCCCCTTCCCTTTCCCTTATTTTTAATTGTATATAAGTGCAAATATATTTATATATCTCATCTTTGGTTGTCTCTCTCTCGTTTCGGGTTTTCTTTCGTTTTTTTTTCTCCCTCTTCTCCCTGAGGTTTGAGGGGAGGGGGGGAACTCTGGTGGTAAGGTTTGGAGACTTGGCAGGGAGCTAGCTTCAAACCATATCACTTGCTTTGATATTTGACCTTTGAGTTGCGCTGTATTTTGCTGAATGTAGTGGTTAGCAGCTGAAATTAACCCTGTAACACAAAAGGTTGTGAGTATGGGTGCATAAATATTACTATCTCATCAATTCAAACATTAAGAATCTTCAAGAAGCTGGTGAGAGCACTATGGGACTCCATATGCTTGCATCAAGATTCTTGGATTCAAATTGAAATTAAATTTGTTAACGTTGTTCTTTATTTCTGTGTATGCAGTACTAGGTTCACACCACCGTCCAGATCTAGTGCCAAGCACTCTATCTCTGTTTGAAGCAGCTTCCTTGGCAACCACAATTTCTTCTTCTTCCTTGGATGTAGATGAGCATTATCAACGTGATCAACCTATGCTCTATTCTAGCAGGTAAAGGCTTTATATGCGGTAGAGGATTCCCCACTATTTCACTAAATATCTGACAGTGTGTTCAGTGGAAAGGGGCTCTTTAAAAGAAAAGAAACAGAGGAGACAAGCATTTCTCTAGCTCAGTCTTGAACCTCTCCAGTGAAGGAGTGGGGCCACAAGCACGTAGGATTTATCATGTATTTGTTTGTTACTATATATATTGTAATTGGGAGGGTAACAAAATAGAAAGTGTGAACACAGCAAAAGATGTTATATGAATTTTTTGTCATGTTCCAAAACTAAATAGGATATTAAAAACTTGCTTCGGCCTTAATCTGAACCATAAACCAAACTACATTAAGGTCAGTGCAGGAAGTACTTCTTGTGACTTGTCTGCAGCCTAAAACAGGCTGCAGGGAAAGGGAAACTTCTTTCAAGTTGTTCTTTCTGAATGTACAGTGCTGAATGGTCTGCTTTAAGTTCTTCCATAAGAACCATTTTCTGAAGTGAATTTCGATGAAACTTTATCCATGGGTGTGATTAGAGCTTGTCTGATTTTAATCCAGGAAGGATAAAACCAGGAAAGTCTCAAAAAAAGTTGTGCAGATGCTTGTGAGCTAGCTTGAATGTGATTTGAGTTGTGTTTGAATCTGCTTCTGCCCTGACTGTCCAATACCATGCTTAAGCCAGTAAGTCCTGCTGGGAGATTTTCTCTGCATGTGCCTGTATGCTCCCTTGTGCACCTGAGGTGTGCTGTGTTTTGCCATCTTGCCTGCTTGTGGATCTCTTTACTGTGTGTTGTACTGCAGAACAGCCATTTCTTTACCTGTTTTTGTCAAGAAAGGTAGCCACTGTGAACTCAAGTATCTTGAATTTTGTTTGGAATAATTTGGAATCCTGAACTAATCAATGCATAAATTTGATAAAATTACTCATTTGCCAAGATGTAGTTGTTTACTTTAAACTGCATTTTATCCAAAAAGATCAAAAGTGATATTAAAAGCAATCTTGAGGCAGTAGGATTTTACCTCCTATTAAATATTTACCAACTGCATTTTCATAAAAAGTAAAATGACTTGCACCATTACTTGATGAAAGTGATATTTACAGCTTCCACTTTCATTAAGTTGAAATAAATCTCACTGATGTGGCATTTTCCACAGGGCTGATGGTTTGCTGTGGAATTTCAGAATGAGGTGTTGTTTAGGGGTGTAACAAAGATGAAATTTTAATTACAGAACCAAAATGCCTCTACACAAGTTTTAGGAAATAAAACTACTAATGAATAAGCATTAGAAGAAATAGAGCTTGTTCAGTTCAATTTCTCTCAAAAGGTAGCTGTAGGACTTCAACATTCCACGATCTTTTACTAAGTTTTTTCTTTAAAAGAAATAAAGTTGTAGAGTACTGGGGGGTTTTATTTGTTTTAAGTATCAAATAAAACTACAGAGATGCTTTGTATTAACATCAGTCAGGAAAAGAGAACTGCAGAGTTGTCTGAATAAAGAGTTCAGATTTACTGCAAATAAAACATTTCAAATATTCTTTACTCTCCATAAATTAACTGTAGAGAAAAGCTATGAGTAAGTCCATGATATTTTCCTGTATAGATACTCCAAAATAATTCTAAAATAAATAAAGTTTTTAGCAGGTCTACACTTTGATTGTATGTTTGGACTTGTTTACTTTCCAGTTGTGATTCAGTCAATGGAATAGCCTCTAATGTAGTACATGTTGCCAGCTGTGTGATTATTATATGCATCCTTGCCTTACAAAATCAGATTGTAACTGTAGTGCTGGCAGTCCAGGTATGCATACTTTTAATTCACCAGTACAAGAGGACATGTTCTCTAACACAGCAGACCTTGCACCACCACTCACACATGTGTGGCTCTATCCATGTCTTCTGTCAAAACATCTTACCCTATAGCAAACAGATCCGCTGTGGGGGTTTACCAACTAACAGCTTTGCTGGTCTAGATGTGCTCTCTTCAGCTGGGGTTTGGTGGCAGTTCTTTCTCCTCATCAAGTAGTAGTGCATGTCACAATCTCAGTTTGTACAATTCATGAGGATTAGCTTCCCTGTGATAGCTCGTGGCTTTCTTTTAGGAGTTAAGAAAACTGCTAGGCATGATCAGTATTGAACTAATTTCTACAAGATGAGTCTAGGCATTTCCAGTTTTGTACCCAACACTGCTTCCTTTGTCAGTGCAGGAAGGTCCTTCCTTCTGGGCACTAAATAATGTATCCATCTGAAGTTTTTTATTTATGTTTTTATGATTCGCTGGAGGAACTTCAGTTCTCCCATGAGAAAAGCTAGCAGGAAAACAAAAACACCAAAAACCCCATGCTGCGGTGATGTATTAAATTGTAGATATCTGAGGTATTTCTTGCTGGACTTCTGCTTTTGAACATTAGAAAATTGTGTGATGCAGGACTTGTAATTTTTGCCGTTTTTCTCTGATAAACAGAAAGCTTGGAGCAGTCTTTGAAACAAAGCCTGAATTAAAGATTTGTTTACAAATGTGAGCCTGCTTTCAATCTTTAAATATGTAATTGACTATGCACCTGCTCTGTAAACACCACTTCCTTGCAAAGCTGTACCAATTACATTACGCTCTTGTTCTTCTCCCACTTTTCCTCCTGAACTTTTGGCTGCAAGTGTCCTGTGTCTGCATGAAAAAGTCCACTGTTACTGTGCTAATTGCCGAATCTTCTCTATTTTGAATTAAGAAAGGGTGCCAAAATTTATACCATTTGTAATGTGGAAGTAACATAATTTGAAATTAATGAAATTATGTCACATTTATTATGACAGTTTCATTCTTTAAATAAATATAGGAGTTCAGGAACAGCATTACTTTCTGATAAAATTTTAGTTAATGCAAAAATAAAAAATGTGGTTTGTCTATGTTAGTCAAATAGAGCTTCCAGTTATCTAGCCATTGCCAAAACATTTATATTTGTTCATTTACATTCCTTTTTTTCAAGTATTTGAAGATTTTTATGTTTCAGAGAGAAACTTACTTTTAAATTTTCAGCTATGACTGAGCTCTCTGTAACTTTGATTTCTGGTTGATTTAGTCTCCCTTCTCTTTGCAGTAAAGGGTTACCTTCAAGTTCAACATTCACTTTGGAAGACAGTGCCATCTATTTGACTTCAGAACAGAGCACATTGGAAATGGAAAATGATAATGCTTCAGTTTTGGATGTCTACTTAGTAAGTTGTCAAACAGTTTCTCCTGTAATTTCTTTAATTCAGGCTCAGAAAGTGACTAAAATACCTGCTTATCTTCAAGATCTAGAGGTTCATTGAGGTATTTTTCAGATGAAACATATGCTTAAGTACCCCACCAAAGCAAATCCCTACAGAATCTATGTACCTATTAACCATTGTGTTAATAATGAAGTATGCCAAAATGCCTTTTGGTTTTTCTCTAATTGTAGGAGTTTCTTTCCTGTTATTTGTTTTCCATTTGAGGGGGGAAAAAAAAAACCCACACAAAAATCCAAACCAAAACCAATAATATCTTTCCTCTTCATGTTGAATACTCCATGTTGAACTGATTGCATTCTTTATTTTTCTTATCTCTAGTTACCTAATCTTTGTTTTAAGAAATCCAGAATATCTTAGAATCATAAAACAGCGCAGGTTGAAGGGACCTCAAGAGATCATCTGGTTCAACCTTTCCTGGAAAAGGGAGCCTAGATAAGATTATCTAGTACCCCATTGCATTCCATCTTGAAAACCTCCAGCAATGGGGACTCTACCACAGCCCTGCAGATGTTTTTCCAGTGATTAATTATTTGTCCAGAAGAAAATTTTCCTCTGTTGAGATGAAACATGTTTGTATCTGATCTTTTGTCAAGATGAAACATGTTTGTCACATTTTTTTCTCTATAGGCTGTATCACTGATTTTTTTTTCTTCTTTTTAGCCAGCAACACTTGAATATCTATAGTACCCACTTACTACTAATTTAATAGTCGAGCACACTTAGGAAAGTTGTTGTCTGTCCTGCCTCCATTGAAACAAGACAGTAGCAAGTACCAGTGGTCAATTATATGTAGAATTGACTTAGTTAACTGTGAACTCAAATAGCCCATTAGATCAGCCTATGCCTGTAAGACTTGTGTTAATTGGGCTCACTGCTGGTCTAATGTTGACCGAAATGGTCTGTTAAGAGGGACTCAGAAACCCTGAAATGAACAAATGACTAATCACACACAACTTAACCTTGCTAGCGGATTGGCTGACTTAAATGAACTATGCTTTTAACTAAAGAACTTGAGGGTAGGATCCAGAGCTGTGACAGTAACACCTATACACTCATAAGCAACAGCAAGGATGCGCATCTAGGTGTACTAGAATAGTGGGGAATACTTCCCAACACTTTACAAAGGCAAGAACCCTGAGTCCAACCACCTCAAGCACATGCATATCAGTGCATGAAGTCTGGGCAACAAAGAGGAAGAACTGCAGCTCCATGCCCAGTCTGAGTTATAATGTGATAGGAATCACAGGATCTTGGTGGGAAGACTCACATGGTTGGAAGAACACAATGGATGTCTACAAACTCTTTTGCAAAGATGGGGAGAGGAGATGGAGTTGCACTTCATTAAAAAAAAGAGAAATCTGAGTGTAGGAAGGTAAGCTGTGGAGACCACAAAAGGTCTATAAAATGCCTTAAGAGAATATTATGTTAGGTGTATGTTACTAGCCTTCCAACCAGATGACAAGGCCAACAAAACTTTACTTTGTCTCTTCAAGCAAGTATTGAGCCAACAGAACCTGGCCATCACAGGTGACTTTGATTACCCAGAGATTTGCTGGGAGAACAGTACAGCAATGCACAAATTGTCCATGAGGTTCTTGGAATACATGAGGTCTGCATCCTGCTACAGGTGCTGGTCATGCTTAGTAGGAACAGTGTGTTGCTAGGTTTACTACTCACAAAATGAAGACATACTTGACAACATAACTTCAAATCATAAACTTGGATGCAGCAATCACAACATTGTGGAGTTTAAGGTCCTGCTAAGCATAGTGAAGACCAGTAGTAGGATAAAGGCCTTGGATTTTAGACATGCCAGCTTAAGTATACTCAGAGCTCAGATGAGAGGGCTTTAATGGGAAGCATGTGTGAAGAGCAAAGCAACATGTGAGTGCTAGGAGTTTTTAAGAAACAGTCACAGTGCTTGTCAGACTGCACAGGGAATAATGTGTCCAGCTCTGGTCCACACCATTAAAAAAAACATATGGGCAGACTGAAGAGGGTATAAAGGAGTGCCACAAAGAGATCAAAGATGTGGAGAACGTGCCATTTGAGGAAAGACTGAAAGAGTTAGGTCTTACTTACTTGATAATCTCATCCAGGCTCCCTTTTCTGCAAAAGGTTGGACTAGATGGTCTCTTGCAGTCCCTTCAGCCTGGGCTGTTCTGTAGTTCTCTTGGCCCCATTTAAACAGTGAAACCATTTGTTGCTGACAGCTTTTGAATTTAGTTTATAAAACAACAATCTTGTTTATCACTAACACTGCTTAGCACTGTGAAGTAGTTCTTTTTGGGGTTGAAGTCTGTAGTGTGGATGGTGGAATGCTCTGAAATTCCAGTGACAGACATAGGTAATACCTTCTCTAAAGCTGTCTGTATGAGTTTCAGGTGTGATGGTGATCTCTTTAGTTAGTTTTTGGCTTGTAAAACATTCATAACTATTATGTTTGGGAGACTGCAGTAAGTGTATGTGTATTCCACTGACGAATTATCAACAGAAAAATAATTAAAACCCAACTCTGGATGTTATACAAATACCCAGTGTTTATTCACCTTAGCAAAGGTCTGAAAGTATAAATAGGTCTTAAGTGGAGAGAATCATAGATGCTTCTTCTGACCTAGCAACACTTTTCTCTGCATCCTGAAAAAAAACCAAAACCCAAAATTCAATAATCAGGGTAGTGGCACATACTTGAACTGTCTAGGTATGCAACAGCTGACAGCTTCAAGAAAATTGGATACCATGGCTAAGCGCATCTTATGTCTTAAGTGGCAAACTCATCTTGAGCAGTTACTTACCCCTGCCTTCCCTCTCTTGTCCCACACACTGTATGGATGCTATTTAACTGTTTTGAGATTGCTGTGGAAGTGAGCTGTAATTTAATCACATGTACCCTGTATCTATCCTGAGGTGTTTGTGGGGAAAAAAAGGAATAATATACTGTTTTTTCTACTAATCTGTTTCTTCCTAATGCCCCGCAATACCCTTCAGTGGGTCTGGAAACAACAATTAGCCTCTGTTTGGGAAAACCTGATGATACTAAAGTATTATCAGTTATAAAGTGGTGTTTGTTATCAGTTTGATTCAGCAGTGCTGAGCAGAAGGCAGATTTTTTTTTGTAGGAGGATGATTAAATGCATGCTAGAAGAAAAAGATGCATGTTTTTGAGAACTCTAGCCCAGTCATTGCTAATGTATGTCTCAAAAATAAAGCAAATCAATGATGTCTGCATTAGCTGATCTAAACCTCAATAGAAAAGGTTACAAGGTACATTTTGACCTTTTAAAAGCATGAGGAGAAAAATTTAGCTTTTAATGGCATTCCCAGATTTTCCTTTAACTCTGTAATTAATAAGCTTTGTCTGTGTTTTTATTACAAGGCAAACTGTTGTAGTCTTACCCACTATATATTATAATGAAAAATATCTTAACTTGCTTAATTTCAGTCATCACTAATCCTTTGATGTCTTTGCCTCCTGCTTTGAAATGCTAAACTTCTCAGACAAATTTTCATCCTCTAGTAAATTAAGAGCTATGAATTTCTGGTCCCCTGACTGCAAAAGAAAAGAAAAAAAATTGTCATAAAATTACATATTGTTAATTTACTATAAAAAACAGTTTTAAAATGGCATTTTCTGAACGGTGTTATGGGGAAATGCAGACAGTCAAGTAAGGTAGGGTGGAACAGAGGTTGTAAAAGCAAAAGTTTCTCTTACAAGTCAGAGTATTTGGTTTGGGATATTACTGCAGACTCACACTGTGCTGCTGATGTCAAAATTGGGAATTTACCTGGTAACAGCAACAGATTTTGGTCAAGGACACAGGTGAAGAGATATCTTGAGTACACAACTGAATGCTGGTCTAGGCTCAGAATTCCTCAGTTCTGAAAAAAGACCAAGTTCAGCAAACCAGCATTTTGTGCATCTGCCACTCTAAGCAGCACTGTTAGGAACATCCTCAAATCCAAATTTGACTTTGAAATACCACTGGTTTATTTTCTCATAAATTTTTTAACCCAGATAATGACTTCAGAAATCTTGCTTTTATGACTAAAATACGACTAAGCATCATCTGCAATGAGCAGCAGATATAAGCCAATCTAAATTATTTCCAAATATTCTAGTACCGTAGAGTGGGAAACAAATACTGAGTAATCAATACAAATAATTTTAATTATCAATTAAATAGCGCAGAAAGATAGAAGCAGATATATAAAATACTTGGAAATTTTAAATGTTTCTCTTGATGCCTGCTTGGCTGGTGCTAAAAAAAATCTCTGGAGCAGTTAATTAGGGGTGAGATAAGGAAAGGGTTTATTGTGCCAAGGCAAAAGATGTTACAAGTGTGCCCACTGTGCCTGAGATGTTACATTTTATAATACCATCCATCCAATCCCAAATGTGTCCACCCTGTGGCCTTTACTCTGGACTGCCCCGGGTCCACCCCCTGAGAATTGAGTCTGGGGTGTATTTCGGGACCACCTCTTCATCAGTCTCATCATCTTCAGAGCACAAAGTGTACATAGTCACCTAATTTTTGACTGTGTTCTGCGGTTTAGGTGAAGATACAAGCATTCTCCAAACAATCTAGGCCTTGCCTTGGCAAAAGACTAAACATTTGAGAAGTGATCCTTCCCCTGTACTCTGCATTGGTGAGGCCACACCTTGAGTATTGTGTTCAGCTCTGGGCCCCTCAGTTCAGGAAGGATATTGAGGTGCTGGAGCAGGTCCAGAGAAGAGCAACGAGGCTGGTGAAGGGACTTGAGCACAAGTCCTATGAGGAGAGGCTGAGGGAGTTGGAGTTGTTTAGTCTGGAGAAGAGAAGGCTTAGAGGGGACCTCATCACTCTCTACAACTACCTGAAGGGAGGTTATAGCCAGGTGGGAGTTGGTCTCTTCTCCCAGGCAACCAACAATAGGACAAGGGGACATGGGCTCAAGCTCTGCCAGGGGAGGTTTAGGTTAGATGTTAGGAAGAAATTCTTTACAGAGAGGGTAATAAGGCATTGGAAGGGCCTACCCAGAGAGGTGGTGGATTCACCATCCCTGGAGGTTTTTAAAAAGAGATTGGACGTGGCCCTTAGTGCCATGATATAGTAATTGCAGTTGGATCAGGGGTTGGACTTGATGATCTTGGAGGTCTTTTCCAACCCAATCTATTCTATGATTCTATGATTCTATGATTTCTACTGGATTCAGGGGTAGGAGTGATATAGGGATCATAGAATGGGGTAAGAGGGTTAAGGAATGTGTAAACAAGGGTGCTACAGGGAAAAGGACAAGGGAGTGAGGGTTGCTGCTTTTAAAATCTACTTATAAAACTTATAAGGGCTTACAAATATTAGAAAAATAAAAAACCCATTAGGGGCTTAAGGCATCACTCTGCACACCTTTAAAACATTAAAGGCTTCTTGCTTTTATGAGTATGTAATACAATGATAGATCCGATACTTTGAAAGAGAAGGTGCCATCTGAGATAAACAGGTTTCCTGTATATAAGTCAGAAGCAGAGAAGATAACACTCTTCTATTTAGCACTTTGATATAGAAATCCACAAAACAACAGATTAAAGCAGTGTTTCCTTCTTCTTCTGGAAATTAACTTAGTCTCTTGTTTAAATTCCCCTGAAGCTTTATTTGTTGGTGTCGGTTCAGGCACTGTCAGATGATATATAAGCAGGAAAGCATTAAATGTCAGCAAATGCTATTGAACACGACAGTCATAGTATTCTATGGAATTTGATTAGGAAAAAATACAAGAACCTACAAAAGGTTCTTAAGAGTGATCTATGATCAGCAAGAGCAACCAGTTCTGACGACTTTAGTCCACTCTTACTATGGAGTGCCTTAAAAATCATAATTTCACTTAAAAAGTAAGGAATAACTTAAAATCACCCTGTTCCTTCTGTTCTGCAGTGAAGTCTCAAATCCTTTGATTGAGTTTTCTGTCCCTGAAAAAATAACATGTGCAATTATAAACTATCCTACTGTGTTTTCTTAGCCTTCCCATGAAATTATTTGTAAAGGTAGCTGAACATATTATTTTGTCAAACTACAATATCAGTAAAATCAGAGTAGTAAGGCTTAGGCATTTCTTTAATTGATTTACTTCAAATACACTTGATTTCCTTTACACTTCCAGCAGAACAAGGACATGCATGCAAATAGCACAACAACAAACTTTAAAGTTTGTTCAACTGTGATGCTGTTTGTCTTAATCATCTGGTGGTAAATATAGGACTTAATAAATAAATAAATAAATATATGTCCTGCCTATAGGATATCATTAGTGAACGATTTTTAAATGGTTCAATTTAAAGAATACTTCTGTATATTTAAATACAATGCAAGATTCTTGGGTAGTATAGAAATTTTCACATGGAAATAGAGATTGCCAGGAAAGGCTCACAAAATTTGTATATAATTTAGAAGTTACTGCCACTGAAGATAGGGATCGATAAGGGATCAGTAAAATAAAATAAAGGAATAACTAGTGATGAGCAAGCCCAGTGTATTTAGAGTCTGGTTAGTGTATCTATGATTTGCGTCAGATGAATTGTGTAGGTCATACTATTACATTTAAAATTACTTAGGTAGTGCATTGTGTGCAAATGCCAGTTTTATTACAGAATTTGGAAGTATTAAAACATTGCTGCAGATTAATTTTGTATTTTAAAGCTGCTGTAGATGCAAGGTAATCAGGTTTATAAATATTGATCTATAAAATGCCTGTTTAGAAACTGTCAAAATTGTCTGACTCTTCTTACTCTTCAGTACTCCTTTTCTTCTGTACTCACTCCCATATTTTCAATTAAATTCTAGTCATGGTTTAGTTTTCTTCAGGGTGCTGTTGTGGAATAATAAGTGCAGCTGAAATTAAAGCAGTTCCCAGACAGGATACATGTAAAAACAAGCTAAAAGTTGTACATCACACTGTGCAGCACACCTCAAATTTTGCTATGTTGTTCTTTATGGAGACTTCAATTTCTCTGCCTCACCATTTACTCTGAAGATACTGATGGCAAAACACAGTGGACTGAATCTGAATTCTGGGACTATGGGAAAGGAATTAAGGTGTCCTTGCTTACAGACGTTCATATCCCCGAGAGCATACTAATCTTAGAATGTTACATGCCCATAATGGAACCAATCAAGCACTCTCCTCAAAATAGAATCTTGTTTAAGGCTGAAGGGGGTAAACCTACTTGTTTTATGCAGTGAAGTTAACTGCTCTTTTCCTCTGTTATCTATCCTGTTATTTATCCCTGTATTCATCCATGCATGATCCTAAAAAGAAGAGAGGCCTATGTCTCTCATACAACTGAAGCCTGGTGTGATGTGAAAAAAAAAATGGACACTTGAATGTAGTTTGGCAGAGGTGTTCTTGTAGAAGCAACATTATGTAAAAAGGAAAATTTCAGTCACTCTTGCATAAAAATCAGAGATGGGAATTATGTGCTTGGTTAGATTAAAAAGGTACCAATTCAGATTACAAGCAATATGTTGCCTGAGTAAGCCAAGTGCTAAAATGCCAGCACATATTGTCACTGAACTACATGTTCTCATGCCTGGAGCTTTTAAAGCACCTTATGAGGTAATCAATCAGCTCAAAAACATATCCATGGAAAGAGAACTGGAGCACAAAAATGCTCCAATACAAAAAGACTCAATTAGGCTCAAACACTGTAAATCCATTATATACTCAATGTGAGACGTCTGAGACAGTGATTATAGGAATGCATCCTGTAGTGTCATTTGTGCATTATTTATCACTTTAGACCAAAGTGCTATGGCCAAAATCAGTTGTAATAAAAAAATAAAAAATGTTTCTTTTATCTGCAATCAAGGTAACCCCAAAAATTGTGCAGTGGACAATTGCTTAGAGGACCATGTCCTGCCCCTTGAAATAGATGGAGTGTTTTCCATTGTAATATGTACAGTACTGGACTGTACCTGTTCATAAATATGAACATCCGAAAATCCCATCTCATTAAAATGGCATCAGTACCATCAACAGCATTTCTGCAATTGACTCACAGTTAGCAGCTGCTACAAGTTCCTGTTAGATCTCTTTTCTCCAACTCTGTTATGCAAATTTTATTGGAATTTTTTCCATCGTTGGTCACTCTGAAATGCTTTGGAAGGATCAGAGGAAAGGGAGCAAGAACAAGTATAAGCTAGCCATAATTCCGTTGCATAATTAGTGGAATAGCATAAAGCTAACATCGGCAACACTGCTAGTCTCCTTAGTGAAAAGTGTAATAAGTCCGGAGGGTCAGAAGTTGTGCTGAGTGACCATCTGTCAGAAATGGACTTGCAGTCATTCAGATCTGAGCTTTCAGACAGAAAGTAGGTGGTGCTAGTGCAAATTTTGATTAATTTGTCTTGGCTTCATACAACATTATTTTGTTTATCAGTACTAGCATTTTTCAAGTTTTTTTGCCAAACTAATTCCTGAAAAAAAACAAACCAAACAAAAAAAATCCTTTTTAATCTTGCATCATATAGATTTTAGAACATAATTTTTTTTTTAGATTTTATTCACTTGTCCAGCAGTTTTCCTTTGCACATTAAATTGTTTGCATCCTATAAGTACTTTACTCCCTTAGCACATTCAGGTGCTAATACAGCGGTGGATAGACTTTAATTGCCAAACCACGTTACAAAGAGAGAGAGAACAGCCCCTGAGAAATTAGCACTGTGCTCACTAGCATCAATGATTATGAACACCCTAACACTGGTGCAGTAGGAAGTTTAAATGTTGCCACAGAATAATATTGAAATTTCATTTCCTAAAATTCAAGAGCTAGAAGTCCTAACTAAAATATTGATTTAAATCTAGTAGTTACCTTTCTCTAAGATAAGCTTTAGAAATGCCTTTAGATATTTTTAGCTTATAATTAAGGCTAGACTGTTGTTAAACTATTTAAAAGTTAGTTTAGTGCTTGTATTGACAAGTAAAATGTAAAGTTGACCTTCAAAGTCTATTGAATAAATGGAACTTACACCTTTGTTAGGTTTTTTAACAAGGTTTTAGATTAAGGTCACTACAGACTTCTTTGTTTTGATTTTGTTTCTTGCTCCATATTGGATATATTAGCTGAGATGCTTTCAATTTACTGAAATGTTTTGTTCAGCTGTCAGTTTCTCTTCAACACATCTCTGACTCTATAGAGATGCTTAGAAGTGATTAATAATTTGTATTACATAATTACTGGTTCTGTAACAGGTACTGTAGAAAACTCTAACCCATTAACATTATTAAATAATTTTTTTGTGAAATGGAATGATTGCTACAACATTGACTAGAACATTTGTTGTGTCTGAAAGTTTTTGGGCAGGTATGATTTTTCAACTGGGGAAGGGTATCATGCAGAAGCTAACAGGACTTTAATTCATGACTATGAAGACTGACATTTTTCCACTTACACTTTTAAGTAGTAAAGGTCACAGTCAATTCAAGATTAAAAAAAAAGCTCTTGTGAGTTGCTGAGTGCTCTCAGTTTGTACTGTCTTCTCTCATGTCCAGAGTGTTCAGCATTTTGCAGCCGCAAGTAGTTCTAGTTCAGGTAATGTAAGTATACTGCAAGGTCTGCAAATCCATAGGGGTTACCTGTTGTGTGAGAAAAGAGACTTCAATGCTTCTGATTAGGGGTCAAGGTAAGAAAAGAATCACTGCCAAATTGTTCTGCAGCCTCTTTAGGGGAAGAAAGATGTCACCTGTTAATAATTCTGTAAGAAAACAAATAAACACAACTCTTGACTTTATTTATCATTTCTGTATTTCCAGTAAAAAGAATATGCGAAGAGTAAAACTAAGAGAAGTGACTATGGTTAATGAAGAGCACCTTCTGCACTCCTCATTTAAGAAGGAGAAATTTGCTGAGCCTAATAGACAAAGAGTAATAATCAACTGAACTTATTGTAAGAAGTGTCAGGATCTTTGAACCACAGAAAGGATTGATGGACTTGGAAAAAAATGACATGATACATTCCACATTCTGCTGTCATCTGCTGTTGCTGAACTGTGAAGAACTGTGTATTAAGGCTGCTTTCTACTATATTGCCAATCACCTTTTTTGGACTTGGAAGTAATATTTTCTTATCGGGTCTCTAGTGGTTTCATTTGCATGCATTCTGTAACTATGCACAAGCAAAATCTATTATCTGCTTTACCTATTTAAGAATAAGCACAATTATGAATAAAATTAATTTCATTTGTTTTGACCTTTCAGTTCTAATCTCTTAAGTCCACATCAGTGGAATTTGGAACTGATATCACAAGAATTAGGGTAAACCTCTGAACATACTATATGAAAATGAGCCTCTAAATATACTTTTGCTGTTCATAAAAAGGAGAAAAAAATGTTATTTATAACAAGGCCTTATGTTGTGTAAATATGTTGCCTTTGAAATATTTTTGATTTTGGTTTATTTCTTGTAAAAGAGAAATTCTATAATTTATTTAGTAAGTGCTACTGTGAACTATAGTTTTATTGATGAATAAAATATTTTGTTCTAAAGACTAATACAGCTCTCAACTTGCTCTTGTTCTATACTGGACTTATTGTTCTGGCATTTCTCTATCTTCATTAAATGGTTTTGAGAGGCGTCTTGAGATATGACAAACAGGGCATCTGTCTTTATCTATTACCAGTTCTATAATGAAAAGGGAAATCTTGAAATTAGAGCAGGAAAGGCAAAAGGACATACTCAAGAGACATTGCTTTATAAAAGCATTTTGGGTTTTTCAGTATGGGCAATCATTTTAAGATAAATGTAAAAACTGTTCCAGTTCTTTAATTTTCTAAGCAGCAGAGGGAATCCCAAACAGCAGTGACTAACACCAGATTTCATGCTTGGATGCAGTGATGCATTTAAAAATTTACACACGTGTCATTTTGAAAGCTTACCAAAGTTAATGGTAATAACGTTTCTTCTAGGAGTAAGCGTAGCAAACCTGTTGAAAACCCAGAACTTGGCGTTTTAAGTCCTAGAATTATGCTGTGTACCTCTGGAGAATTTTTCATTTAAGTATTTGGTGTAGTGAGGGGGGGTTGTTTTGGTTTGGGGGAGGGTTGTTTCTGTTTGTTTTACTTTGATGTAATCCTATAATCTGACAAGTAAGAAGGTATTATTCCCTAACTATGCACAGAATAGAGAAGTCAAAAGGTTGGTTTTTTTCTTTCTAACTGTGTACTCTGTGGCTTAACGTAGAGCCTCTGCTTCATGATTACCACTTTTCCAGACTTTAAAATTATACCGCTTAATCTCAGCAAGATATTTTTTCTGCAGTATTCCTGTGAGAAATACAAGACTAATCTGCATGCCCTGTGAGCAAAAACATTTTGTGCATCTGTGTCAAGTGTCTGCTCCTTCATGCACAGTGTACAGAATATTTAGAATGTGTCTCTGTGGATAGCAGATACTTTGATTTGTCCAGTTTTGGGAAAAACATTAAATTTATTAGTTTAAGAATCAGATTAACCTTCATGAACAACACACGTCACTTTTTTCCCAATTACCTAGCAGACTGTAGTGTCTGAATCATTGTCCTTAGGAAGACACTAGAGGACATACAACTGCAACAATTCTGTCCAAAACCTGTCTATATAATGATCGAGAGACTGAGACATCCTTTGTATACAGTCTCTTTAACATGGTAATTTATAAATTCAGACAGTCATTTAACACTTGTAAAAAGAAATCCTGTGTAGACTATGGAGCCTGCTGGGAAAACCCTCTCCAAAGCATATGCACTTAAAACTCTTGTGTGTATGTGTGACTACACAGTTCCACTGAGAGGGAATGGAGATTACAGCTAAGCAACGTTAAGCTAAGTTAATGATCAACAATTTAGAATCCAATTTTTTCTCTAGCACTGAAATTATACAAAGTTTCAAACATCAAAGAGCACAGGAGCTTGTAGGGATGTGCAAGTTTCATGTTTAAGTATTTTCATTCTCTTCATCTTCCATTGGTGTTTTGCATTGGTAGCATTTGATGAAAAAGACTTTCAAACTTGCCTATAAAGCTGATGAAGCAGGATATGTCAAGTAAAGTAAAATATATACAGAAGGTATAATCAACTCCCTGGGGTATTAAAGTAACACATTGGTCTATTTCTCCAGGTCTAAACAGATGGAATTCACCACAGGGAGAAGAGAAGAATTAGGTCACAGACATGGGCTATCTGTGGGCAGCGGTATCTGACTACTCTGGCCCTGCAAGCTGCCCAGAATGAAAAAGCACAGGTTGATGCCTGCTTAGAGAAAGGTAGGGAATAATTCCAAATTTGTATATCTGATCCTGTGACTTAATCATATGGCATTGAGAGGTCAAGTTTTGCCTTTGGTGGTAGCATATAATAATTGTCCTCAATTAAAAACAAAACAAACCAACCAACCAAACCAACCAACCATGCAAACAAACAGAAAAACACCCTAACTTCATGTCCTTGTACTATATTTCAATGGTTTGAAAAAAAACTATCCCCCCCAAAAAACTATCTTGTTGACTCAGCTAATACCTCAGGCAGTTTAATTTCATATAACTCAATGGTATTTTCCCAAACTAGACAGTGATAAAAGAGTAATCGGCACTCTACCTGTTCTTCATAGAAGCCATTTTTTTATCCGTTTCCAGTGGTGCATGCATTTACTTGAAATATGAACAATATCAGCTCTTCCCAGATGGAATGTGTAGGACCTGACTCTGCAGCACTTTTGTATCTGGGACTACTTCACAGGTATTTTACACTAGCCTAAAAAGATATTGATACCAGTACTGTGGTATGAACAACATTAACCCAGGGGACAGGGATCAAGATGAAAAACATTAAGAAATCATTGTTAAAATTGCTAAGCCCTAACTTGACCCTTTTTAAGTTTTGTGACTGATGCTTGCTTGGAAGTAGTATCCTGTGAAGTTCATTAACTTGAACTTTACGTATGAATTAATTGTTGTCAAATTTTTTAAATATTTGGTAAATAAAATTGCTAATACCAGAGAAAATATTTAATTCTCACTAATTCATTGATTTAGCATTAACTTAGAAACAGAAAATAAACATTTCATATTGAGACGTGTATGACCTTGGATGACTAGAGAAAAATCAAGGTGGAACTACTTAGATAATATTAGAAAATGCCTGAGACTCTTTATATAGAAATGGCAAGGTATATAAATAAGCACCATCTTTAAATAGATTAAATGCTACATAAAAGATTCCTCCATTCTTCCAGCTGCTTTCCCCTCCCCTTACCAAGATATAAAAAAATCAATCATTTGCTTTACTAACGTATTCTGTTGTCTGATACAAGTCATTTGTCCCTACAGGCCTTATCTTAGTATCTAAATCATTACAGATGCAGAAACATAAGTAGTTTCTCCCAGTAGGGATAAGAATGGGTTGGTCTTCAAGGAACTAGAGAATATCTTGTATCTGCTTGATGTATTAAATCTTCCGTCACAAAATACATCAAGAACACAAACTTCTGCAAGGTCTGAGGGAAGATACTGGTAACAAACACACAGGACTCTGTAGAAAAGAGACATGAGGCTGGCTAAGCTAGATAACAGTTTGGTACAGAGAACTTCTAGGTACAACAGACTTCATAATCTCAGCTGAAATTTGCACAAGTGACTTGACTTGGTTGAGCTTTTGCCCCTTGTGTGGTATAAAATAATTCTGGCTTATAGAAAAAATCTTATAAAGTTATAAATCTTGGTGAGAAACTCAACAACTTATTCCCTAATGCATAGCAAGATCATAGAATAGTTTGGGTTGGAAGGGACCTTTGAAGGCCATCTAGTCCAACCCCCTTGCCATGAGCAGAGATATCTTCAACTAGATCAGGTGGCTCAGAGCCCCCAGCTGCTTACTTTAATTAAGAGTTTTATAAATATAACAGTGCATCACAGAGTAACCAGTGGTAAGCTTCTCAATACTTGTATGCTTTATGTATTTATGATCTTACTTGCAATGGCTGCATCTTTCCGTTCTGTCCTGTGGAAGGCGCTGAAGTGAAATTTGTCTGTGTTCCCGCAGAATCTGTGTGGGTTTTTAAAGAAACCCTTGCATACGAATTATTTCTTACCTCTCATCTTGATAAACCTATTTTATTTTTTCAGTTTAAGGAACAATAAGAGATGTCCGGCTGATTCGCTCTACACCTTCACATACCATTAATAGTATGGTATCACCAGCATTTAAGTAACTCAGTGGAAAATGTCATGTGTGATAAATTATGTGATTTATTTTCCCTTAATTGGCTGTAGTGGGTTTCTGTGGTTAGGTTTTGCTAGCGAGGGGGCTCCTGGGGTGGCTTCTGCTAGAAGCTGCGAGAAGCTTCCCCTGTCTGGTGGAGCCAATGCCAGATGGCTCCAGGACAAATTTCCTGCCGCTGGCCAAGGCTGAGCCAATCAGGAGTTATAGTAATGCCTCTGTGATAACATACTGAAGAACAGAAAGGTATTGCGCAGAAGGAATTCCAGACAGGGAAGAGCGGAGTGAGAACATGGGAATAACAAGGTGGACATCAAGGTCAGAGCAGAAGGAGGGCAGGAGGTGCTCCAGGCGCCAGAGCTGAGGCCCCTGCAGCCCGTGGTGCAGACCATGGTGGAGCAGCTGTGCCCCTGCAGCCCATGGAGGACCATTGGGGTGCAGAGACCCACCTACAGCCCATGGAGAAGCCCATGCTAGAGCAGGTGGATGCATGAAGAAGGCTGTGACCCCGTGGGAGGCCCAAGATGGAGCAGGAGCCTGCCAGGGACGTGCAACCTCTGGAGAAAGGAGCCCACACTGGAGCAGGCTTTTCCCAGGTAGAACTTGTGGCCCCTGTGGGAGACCCACACTGGTACAGCTCATTTGTGAAGGACTGCACCCCATGGAGGAGTGACCCATGGGACAGCAGTTTTGTGAAGAACCTTTGCCTGTGGGATGAACTCATGCCAGAGAGGTCCATGAAGAACTATCTCCCATGAGAGGAACCCCAAGGGAGCAGGGGAAGGACTCCTCTCCCTGATCAGCGGCAGAAACAGAAACTGACGGGAACCCCCATTCCCTGTTCCCTTGCACCACTAGGGGGGAGGAGGGAGAACATGGAAGGAAGGAGGGGTGGGCGAAGGTGTTTTTAAGAATATTTTACTTCTCACTCTTTTAATCTGACCCTGTTAGTAATAAATTCAGTTAATATCCCCACTTTCAGTCTGTTTTGCTCGTGATGGTGATCAGTAAGTGACCTCTCCCAGCTCTTATCTGAACTCATGAACCCTTTGCTGTTTTGTTTTTTTTTTTACTCTCCTCTGTCCACTTGCAGAGGGGAGCGAGAGAGTGGCTGTAGTGAGTACCTGGGGTCCAGCCAGGGTCAGCCCACTACACTAGCTCAGGGTAACATTTTACCTACAGGATGTAACTGATCAGGATACTCTCTGTCACAGGAAATCGTCCTAGAACAGGTCCCCTAGCGAGTGCCTGGTGTGTAGTGTGGTTTCTAATTGCTACTCTTCCCAGGCTCCAGCTCCTTGT